CTTTTATAGTCTCAGTAGTTGATGTCTCGGGATCTCAGAGCCCCAAGGATTCCTATTATCCCCTTTCTTACTGACCTCTTAAGAGATGAGATGATGTGTGCTCATTGAGTGGTGGATTTGCTTAGAGCTTTTGACACCCTAGTTTGGGAAACATTTCCAGAAGCATCTGCTCTGAAGACACAAGAAGGCTTGGTGGCTTACATGAGAGAAGATGAAGGGGAGGGTGGAGGTGAGGAAGGCAGGACAGAGCCCAAGGATTGGTGGGGTTTAGGGGAGAGTTTCCAGGGCAGGTTTGGTGACTAGCTGTATACTATAGCTTCTTCATAAATGTTTGCCAAGCAGATGGGTTGAAGGACGAAAGAATGACCATGTGGAGAAGGAATGAACTCGTGGTTCCTTGCGAGGTGGGTGATCCCTTAGACCCACCGCTCTGCATGCTCCTCCTTGGCCTCTGTTAGTGCCTGGAGCTTCTGGGGCAGGGTCTTTGTCCAAAACTGGAGCCTGTGGGCCTTCAGGGCCTGACCCACCTCAGGCTTCGTATTCAGTTGGAGATACTGATTCTCCTGGTCGAACATTGGCCAGTGGGGCAGACCTTCGCCATTGGGATTCCTGTAGACCAATGGGACAGTGTAAGAGTCACCATGAGCCCTGCTGAGACTAGCCCAACTCCCTGACTAGGGTCAGTCAGCAAGGTGACCAATAAGCCAGGTGGCCTTAAGGAATGAGAAAGAAGGTTTTCAGATGGAGGATAGAAACCATCTCCACTAGGTTATCATGGCTCGAGGGGCAGGTAACCTGGCCTCTTTGTCCCTCCCTTTCACAGAGAGGTTCTAGCTGTAACACAGCTCTGTCACTCACCATCCAGGGCATTGGGAGACGGGACAAGTACCCAGTACCATACTGACCCATCCTACCCTTCCCTGTAGGTCCTCACGTTGGGGAAGGAGCTGCCATGCATTTAGGACACATGACGTCACAACAGATAAGAGGAGCCCTGGATGGGTAAAAGCCCCGATGAAGGTGGAAGTTGGGGTGCATCATCTCACCCATTTCGGGCAAAGTTAGTCCAGTACTTCATCACCTTCCTGCTCAGCAACTCCTCCTCCTCAGTGATTTCAACTGCAGAGAGGACAAAGGTCCAGGTCAGGGTCAACCCCAGTTTAGCTGTCAGGTAGTACCTGTGGAACACCCCACCACACTCGCTAGACCAGGTGTAGCTTCCCCCTGGGTCCTGGGGGATGCTTTCTGCCTGCTCCCCTCAGCCCTGGAGCCAGGGCCTCCTCTTGTCTGAAGTGCCTAAATTTAGCTCAGCTCAGGCTGACCCACCACTGGGCTCATTCCTGGCCTAGAAGGTCCTTCTCATTTAAAACACAAAGATGCCTTTGAAATCCCATGGCTGCACCCACACAGAAGCCCATCTTGGGGTGAGGAGACTGGAGGGAGCATGGCTCGGCTTTTCTAGCTGTAAGACCTTGAACAATAAATCCTGTCCTCTCTCTGAGCCTCAGTATCCTCATCTGTACAGTGAAGGCAATCACCTCTCAGTGGCCCAATCAGGGTTGTATCCTACCTCTTGGGGAATGTGGAGCTTCCAGGGACCCCCCCACCCGAGAAGACTCACTGTATTCTCTCCACGAGAAGGCTCCGAAGACAAAGAGAATCTCATCACCATGGTCGGCTTTCACATAGGGTGGTTTGATGTCCTTTAAGAAACTGGGTCGATGCTGGAACTCATAGAAGTAGACAGGGCTATGGGTACCTGGGGATAGGGTGGGCAGACAGTGAGGTAGCAGCGCCTCACCTACACTGTTCCTACGTCACCCAGGGTGTCACAGTAACCACCTAGGAGACACCTAAGTTCAAGGCTGGCTGGCATCTGGACAGTGGTGTAGGGGACCTCAGGCTGGAGCAGGAGTAGTGGCAAAGGCCTAAGTTGAAATCCTGATCTTGGAAATTCTTAATTGTATGGTCTTGGGCAAGTCACTGAAATCAATGAACTTCCTCCTCTACAAAATATGGAGAAGGTCTGTCTCTTAAACTAGACCTTCCCTCGGACCCATAGCTCTGAGCTGCCGCTTCTCATCTGGCCCTTAGTTACACATGTACTCACGCTGAAAATTTGCTACTTGGAGGGCAGGAATCACGAACATGGTGTCTCCCATCATTTCATGGAACTGGGCTCGAAGGGTCTGGGGGTCACTGCTATTCCCCATGTACTCCTCTACCAACAGGTCACCAAACTCAGGAGGCATCATCTATCCCAGGTAGACCAGGAAGAGTCAGGTTAGGTCGGCTGCCGGGGCAGGGAGGCAGCAGTGACAGGGTAAGGAGAAGGGTCCTGAGATGGACAGGGAATGGGAAAGGGGTCCAACTCTGCAGTGACATCATGCACGAACACGTAATATATTCTTGGCGGATGCATCATGGGCATGATGTGGGGGGTGGGGAGGCAGTTATTCTCCGGTATCAGGACAGGAGTGGAGGAGCCCCTTACCATCGATTCTGACATTTTATGCATGGCAGTCCTTACGGTCTCTACGTCATCTTGCTCCTGAATGTCAGAGAATCCCATACCCTGGAGTTGGGGAGAGTGTTGAGTTGGAGCTGGGATAGACTTGGAGCTACTAACCTCTGAGGCCACCCCACTAGATGAGCTCTTCTGGCATTTGGGCACTGGGGACTGGCCTCACCGTTGGAACAAACCAGCTATATTCATCATTGTTGACACCGATGATGCTGGGCACAGGTTGAAAGTCATCAGAGGCCAGCAACTCCTGGGGGTGCCTGGGCAGGAAGACCCCGTCCACCACACCTGGGGTGAGCTTAAAGGGCTGAGGAGCATGTGCAAAGTCAGGGAGGAAGGCTCAATGCTTAGAAAAGGCCTGGAACAGTTTCTGATGCCTGTCAGTGCCTCTCACCCCATTCTGCCTCCTCCCAGGATGCTTACACCCACCCCAGGTAATCCGATGCCCCTCTTAGCTTGGCCTTGTCTAAGGCTGTCATCTACAACTACGAGTCCATCACAGGGAGATAATGTAATTTGCCTAGGGAGGTGAATGTGAACAGCACCCAGACCTGCTCCACACCTTACCTCCACCACACCTGACCTCTCTAGCCCTACCTTGTTGATGGCTAGAATCTCCTCCTCACTCTTGCCCCGCAGACAGTCCACCAGGGCCTCTGAGTCCACCTGCCCACAGGCCGATAGGTTGGCCACCATCTGTAAAGGGACGAGACAGCGACTGATTTGTCTTTCCAAGATGAGGAAGGAGATCTGCCCAAGGCCCCTATTGGGAGCAGATGTACTCCAAATCTCTAAGGGTATGTTGTGTGGGCTCCTTCAGTTTCTAACTTGTTTCAATTTCCCCAAGAATCAGAGGGCTCAGCCAGAGGAGCCATCCACCTGCCTGGTCGACTCTACTCATGATGAGGACCCCAGGCTGGCAGCTCTCAGAGCAAAGTGAGACTCTGCAATGGCAAAGCCTATGGATTCTGCCCAAGTCCCTCAGCAGTCCCTGGACAGGTGACAGTTGTTGAGGCACTCATTGGCCTGGGGGTCCTCCTTATCCCCACTCCACAGACAGGATGATGGAGCTCTGGGAAGTAAGGGATAAGGCAGAGGGTCTGGGTTTCACATGACTGGGGCCCACTCACTGTGAAAATCACTTCAGCTGAGCTGGTGATGAGGCCAGGCAGCAAAGCCACACCACTCTCCATGATGGCCCCATGGAAGAGTCCTTGGGACATGGGGGACACGACATGAGAGGACACACTTGTGCCACCTGCAGACTCGCCAAAAATGGTGACACGGCCAGGGTTGCCTCCGAAGTGGGCGATATTCTGCTGGACCCAGCGCAGTGCAGCCACTTGGTCCAGGTAGCCCCAGTTGCCAGCTGCATGCTTGTCTCCAGTGCTGAGAGGTGACAGGGATGAGGATCACAGAACTGTCCTGGCTCTGCTCAGCCACATTGCCCAGCCCAGTCCCAGCCTCACCTGAAAAAGCCCAGGATACCCAGGCGGTACTGGATAGTGACTATCACAACATCCTCAAAGGCCGCCAGGACGGAGCCATCATACATGGAGGCCATGCCCATCACCAGCCCACCGCCATGGATCCATACCATCACCTGGGGAAATTAAAGCATAGGTGCTCTGTGGCTCGTACCCAACCCCAGGGCTACAACCTAGGCCAAACACTGCTTTGATTTTGTCCACCTGCCCACGTAGACAGAACTCCAGCAAGTGAGGGTGGTACCTTCAGACCAGAGTCAAGTGTGGCACAAGTTCTATCAGGAAGACCATGTGTCAATGTCTGCCCCCATTTCTCCCAGAACCTGTCTAAGTAGAAATGCAAAGGCGTATCTCCCTGACCATCTTATGCACATTCATCACAAGGGGCGCTACAGCTAGCCAATGGCTGGAGTCTCTGGTGGCCTCAACATGCAGTCCTGGGCACCTGATGAATCTTCTGGGCACAGGTTGGTTGGCTAAGTCCTGGGTTCACCCTACGCCATATCCTTTTCAGGAGGAGTTGGGGTTCTCTGACCACTATCCTGGGTAGGAAGTACTTTCTTGACCTGATGATCAGAGGTAGCTCCTTGGTGAAAGGCCTTCCAATAGGGTCCACGTTACAGTGAATCCAGTCTCATCTTAAGCTTTCTAATGTTCTTGCAGAAGAAGGGTCCTCCCATCTCCATCCACCCCTCCCAGTTGGTCTTAGTTGGTACTCACGGGCAAGTTGGAGCCCTCATGGGTGTGGGCAGGTGTATAAACATTGAGGTACAAGCAATCTTCAGATATGTGAGTAAAAGGCAGGGTCATATTCAACTGGATCTGAACCACAAATTTCATTGCAGCGATGTCCTGCAGACACCTGGTAGCCAGGGCAGACAGTCAGTTCCGGGGCTGTGCTCTGGACAGAATTAGCAGATGGGGTCCAGATGTGCTTCAACCACCAGCAGCCCCTCTCTCCTCTCCAATATCCTGCTCATACATGGGCCTTCCCACCTAGTTACAGGCACAGGCTCTGAAGGAGTCTGGACACCACTCCTCACAAGACTGGAAACTCTCGGGCGTCTCTGTGTTGACATTCCCCACTGTCCCCTGTACCCAGGTGGGCTTGGAGGGGCAAGTCCACATACATCTGCTGGATGAACAGATGCTCATTTCTCATGAGAAGGGCAGTGGGACATCCCCATCTAAGGGAGTCTCATTAGTCCCACAGTTTCTAGTTGCAAGGACACATATCAACGACTATATGCCTCTTGGCCAATGGCATCTGGCCCTATTGGTTGGCACAGTGACAGTGAGTGTCTCCAGGGAGCCATTTCTGCTGCTCTCTCTCCTCTGGGATCTGCAGTATTCACTGCTGGAGTCAGAAGCTCCTATAATGTTCAAGGAGCCAGTTTGAGCTTCTCTGGAGACTCCTCCCACTGGTGACAGAGTTCACTTAGCACAGCCAGATGCATGGGAGATATGTGTTCCTGCCACTACTCGAAGCACCTGGAACTAATTTCCTTCAAGTGCCAGCCAGGCCAGGAGCCAGAAGCTTATCCATGGAGTTAACACCCTCCAGGTTCTGGACTCTGAGCCAGAGGCCAATGACTCAGGAAGCTTATCAGGAGAGTGGGGGTGGCGGTGGAAGAGGGGTGGGAACCCACCAAACTGCTTGTAGGAGTTTAGATGAGAGGACAACTTCAGGGAAGAGCTTACATGACTGGGTAGGAAGTTGCATTCCTCACACCGCTCCATGGCTCTGGAGGCTGAGGGGGTGCAAACCGCAACGGCCCCAGGGGTGGCTTAGCAAAGGGAATTCCCAGGAAGGTGTGGACCCCCACTTCGGTACCCTTCACATGGACGAGGCTCCCCTGCACCTGCCCCGTGTGCGTGGTCCGGATGGGACTGGCAGAGTCCTGACCTGTGGGTAGAGAGATAGACATCAGGCTAGGGTCTGACCCATTAGCTGCCCTGCAAGACTCTTGGAACTGCTGGCCCCTTATCCACAGCTCAGCTCAAGAAACCCTGTACAGATTTCCTGCATGTACTACTGCCCCACTTCTAATCAATTTGTTTTCTCTGGGCCTGGTCCCCAGACTTTCCCACAAGGCTCAGTGAGGCTCCTAGGGGATCAGCTACATGACTCAGCCACAAGAGCTTCAAACAAATGGCTACGTACACTTGTCTTTTCAACCAAACTGTGTGCTGGGTCTTGGGAGGCAATAGTGAAACTGGGACTTGGACAACATGGTTCCTGTCCTCAGAGCACTCATTCCTGTCCTCAGGCATCTCAGGTAGAAAATCACATAAAGAAGGCATACTACAAACAAGGATGATATTGCTGAGGAGACCTCCAAAGGAGAAAACCCACTACAACTCCAGGGGAAACGAGGCATCCTGCCCAGCTCTGGGATCAGACCAGGTGGAAGGACTGAAAGTCACCCGACAGGACAGAGCCAATAGTCTTAATAGAGAAAGAGTTTCTAGAAATTAACAAGAAATGTCCCAGCCACCCATGAGACACAAACAAAGATTGAAAGAATATGTTCAATCAGAATAAGTAAGACAGATAATGGCTCCTGTGCAGATGAAAAGATGTTCGCCTCACTCATGCTAAGAGAAATGCACACTTAACAACAACAGTATAAGTTCTATCAGTAGGAGTGTGAGAAAGTCTCCTGCTGAGTTAAGTCCAGCACTGGGAAAGGGAGGAGGGGTGGCTCCCATTTAAGGAGCTCCTCTTAAGCTCTATACAGGGTCTCTATGAGTTGAATTGACTCAACAGCACTTAACAACAAAAGTGGTGCTGTAGTATCAGCACTGAACTGCGAACCACAAGGTCGACAGTTCAAACCCACCAGCTGCTCCTCGGAAACACTATCCAAGGTCGCTATGAGTAGGAATTGATTCGATGGCATTTAACAACAGTGGCACAATGGTTAAGCACTGGCTGCTAATGGAAGGTTTTGAGTTTGTGAATCTACTAGTCTGGGGGCAGGCAGGGATGGAGAAAGAGCTGACCATCTGCTTATGTAAAGACTACAATCTTGGAAACCCTGTTGTTGTTGTTGTTAAGTGTCACTGAGTCGATTCCAACCCATAGCGACCCTACATAGGGTTTTCGAGGAGTAGCTGGTAAGTTTGAACCGCCAACCTTGCAGTTCAAACGGCTTTGCAGTCTAACGCATTAACCCACAGCGCCACACTAGGACTTCAGCCCTATAGGACAGTTCTATTCCATCCTATAGGCTTGTATAAGTCAGAACCTACTGGACAGCAGTGGGCTGCGACCATTTCAGTGAAAATTAAGGGCACACCTTTGTTAAGTGCACTATGGGGCTATGTGTGAGGACCCTAGGGAGAAGCCAGTACTGGCTGAGACAGGAGAGGGTGGGTCCGAACACTTGTGCACTCTTCCACCCAGTTCAAGGCAAACTCCTTTTAAAGGAAGGTTGAATCGATTGTGCCTTGAGGTCCCCGTGGCCTCTGAGAGCCATTCAGCCATGAGTCAGGTGGAAGCCCATGAAGGTACGCTATGGAGGAGGGCTGAGTGTGGGCTCCAGTGAAAGGATCACATGCCAACGATGGATGGAGAAGTGGTGACTGCCCTGGACTTTTGCTAAGGTCTGAGAGATCCGGTCCTGGCAATCCTATGTCTTTAACTCTGCCCTGGAGTCCAGCCAGGAGATCTCCCCAGGCCCGTGTGAGAGGTGGGAAAAGGGACAATGCAGACAGCATCCCAGACCCACTCTAGGATCCTCTCTCCTAGATGACTCCGGCATTTCTCGCTGTTGAATTAGAATTAGCAGGCTTGGCTACTGCTAAGTGTTGTTCTTGCCAAAAGTTTGTCAGTTCGAAACCATTTAGCAGCTCTGAGGGAAGAAGACCTGACTAATCTGCTCATGTAAAGATTTGGTTAGTTGGTTGGTTATGTGCTGTGGAGTTGGTTCCAACTCATAGCGACCCTGTACAGGGTTTCCAAAGCTGTAAATCTTTACGGGAGCAGAAAGTCTCATCTTTCTTCCATGGAACGGCTGGTAGTTTTGCACTGCTGACCTTGATTGCAGCCTGATTTGTAACCACTACGCTACCCAAGGAAATCCTATGGGGCAGTTCTCGTCTGTCACCTGGGGTTGCTATGAATAGAAATCCTCTCCATGGTACCCAAAGACCGCCTTGGCTGAGATTCCTGGGAAGTAGGACTCAAGTGGTTTCAGGGGTGCCCCTCTGGTCAAGCACAGACAGGCTCAGAGAGGTAGTACAAGGGGGTTTCAAAAAGAGAGTGGAAAACTGGAATTAAAAAACAATGGACTATTTCCATGAACTTTTTAAAGTCCCCTCATATTGTTACTATTGTTATTACTGTTACCCTCCTGCAGAGCTGGATCCAGCTACAAACAGGAGGGAGATGTCCAGAAGTCACTCTAGCCGGAGATTGCCAACACACCTCATATAGGGCTCGCACCCTTACTGTTGTGTGGTCGCAGGTCATCCCACCCTCTCCCAGTCATTAGCACCAAGGGTTCCGACCCTTCCTCCTACAGCCTCAGGTTATGCCTCTGCACAATTCGGTGAATTGTGCCTGCCCTGACTGTGCCCCTGCGGAATCTCACCCCCAGTCAGGACAAGGAGAAGCAGGAGTCCGCAGATCACAGTGCACAGCTGCTCCAGACTCATGTTGCATACGTGTCTTCTTATCCACTGCCAGTTGGGTCGACTGCTTCCACCGAGACTGCCAGGACCAGTGGTGCAGCTGGCTGTGGGTACCTTGCTGGACTGGACAGGAAGGAGGCGGTACGGGAACCTGGGGTAGGTTACACTGATATGAAGTCAAGGCTGGGCAGGGAGCCAGGGCAGGCTGGCGGGGCTGTCAGAACCCGGAGGACTCTTTTGAAGGGACTGCTTGGCTTCTGAAGCCCCTCGGTGTGACCAGGAAGCCTCTCCTGAAACCTGGAGTCATTGCGTTCACTGCCCTATAGTCACAAGCCCCACGAAGATGTTAAGAGATCAAAGAAAGAGGGAGTCATAAACTGTGATTGGGAAACCCAGGAAGATTTTCCTGAAGAGGCACACAATCAAGATTTCCACAGATGGAGAAATGGGAGCGACCTCTGTTTGGGGTGGAGGGAAAGACAAGAGCCTTTGATGGGAGGTGTGGTGTCCTTCATCCTGAAAGCACTCCTAGTTTCATAGCGTTCTGGGTGTTCTCATCACAGCTTCTCATCCTCTTATTGTTACTTGTCTAAGGGTCTCCACGGACCCCATCTCTACTCAGTGATGTTGTTGTTAAGTTCCATTGAGTGGGTTCCGACTCACTGCGACCCTGTGCAGGGTTTCCTAGGAGTGGCTGGTAGGTTTGAATCTCCAACACTGAGATTCAAAAGACCTTGAGGTCCAGTGCATTATCCTGCCGCACACCAGGATTCCCTCTTTAAAAGTTTTGTTTGCCTTTTGAATTGTGAATTGGGTGAATGTTCACAGAGCAAATCGGTTTTCCATTCAACCATTCCTATTTTATTTCATATCATTGATTACAATCATCACAATGTAATCTGTTTGCATTCCTCTTTTCCCTGACCCTTCTGAGCTTTGTCTTTGGGCAAATGCTGTTTTTTCAATCTCAAATGAATGATCCATTCTAAGGAGTGTGTACCCCCCTAGTGTTATTATTGTTCACTTTATAGACCTATTGTTTGGCTGAAAATTGAGCTGCCTGGGGCGAGATTGGGGAGTGAGTTTATTTCCAGACCTGAAGGGTCACTGAGGGCCATAGTCTGGATGTCCCAACAGTCTCTATCCACCCCAGTAATGGCCCCTCCATTCATACACTGCAGCACGTGACTGCACTACTTATTTTTTTTTTTGACCAGCATATTAATTTTTGTTATGCAAATAGTATATATACCTGGTACGAATGGCAAAGCAAAGGATATACTTATATAAAAAATATTTTTTCCAGTTTAGCCCCACATTTATACTTTCCAGAGGTAATGACCTCCATTGTTTTT